GGAAGAAGAAAACCAGTGTTTCTCCCTGCAGTTCTCTGGATATTGAACCTTTAAAAACTAAGTACAAATAGGCAGGTTTATTACATTTCTTTAAGTGTTTGTTTGTCACAGACTTTCTTCCCAGATGTCTCCACCTCTGTGTCCATTTAGTAATGCAGCCCGAACCCATTAATGGGCATCCTGGTTTACTCCTGGCTTGTCTAGCACTGTGATTGTGATTCAGACATTCTCCTGCTCCCCCAAGCTAATGAGGACCAGCAGATCCATCTGTGGGGAAGACATGTTTACCTCTTGGATTCCAGAGCTGCACCATGAGTGAGCTCCCATGGAGCACAGCACAGTCCAAAGGTGTTCTGGCTACAGCATTTATTCTATCCTGTTCACAAACCTAAAACCCTATAAGAGAAACATCGAATAAAAAAAGATTCTACTGAAGTCTACAGCAGAGCCAGCTGTTGGGAATGCTAGCAGGAAAGCTATGCTACATTGTGATATAGTTAATACTATACTTAAGGCTATACTTAATAAAACTTCCATGTGTATAAACTTTTCAGAGATAATAGGGTGTCTTAAGTTGCCATGGTATCTGGAGGCTAGTGGAGAAAAAGTGAATCTTGGCTAAAGGCTATTCTCTCTATATATAATAGATAATCCACAAGCGCCCCCTTCTTCCCCCCTTTTTTCTAGGAAGGTCCAAACTAGTCAAACATTTGTCAGACTTTTCCAATTGGTAAGTTTAAAATTACCTCCTCTTGTGCTCAGCTACCTTGATAAAAGCGGAGGGAATATTGTCTTTAAAATGGATAAAGCCCGATGCACTACTGTATGGGAGTTCAGAGTCACTCCTTTGTAGGTAACTACAAAAGTAGGCTCCAATCCTGCCAGGACTTGCACACCCGCTTAACTGCATGCAATGTGGAGTAGTCGCACTGCTTTCAGTGGGAGCACTCACAGTGCACAAAATTAAGCTCGTGTGTTAGTCTGCAGAAATGGAGCCTAAATGGCTTCACCACTGTTTCACCCTTGAAACAGTAAAAGATCAAATTAACTTTGTCATCCAGGCTTTTTGTTCAACCCAAGGTCTTTTCTCTCAACCTCAAATGTAGGTGACCAATCTCATGAGAAATAACAGACCACAAAAGCAAAATGACAGAAAACTGTCACACAAAAAGCCTATTCTGTCAAAGTGTTGCTGTAAGAGGGCATGGTGATTATTCCTGAATGCATTTCATGAGTTACTGTATGATTCAATGGTTGGTTTCAGAGTAGCAGCCATGTTTAGTCTGTATCCGCAAAAAGAACAGGAGGACTTGTGACACCTAAGAGACTAACAAATTTATTAGAGCTTAAGCTTTCGTGGGCTACACTTATAGTAAGAAGATAATATATACATACAGAGAAGGTGGAGAAGCCTCTTACAGTTTGTATGGCAACTTCCACCTTCTCTGTATGTATATATATATCTTCTTACTGTATGTTCCATTCTATGCATCCGATGAAGTGGGCTGTAGCCCATGAAAGCTTATGCTCTAATAAATTTGTTTGTCTCTAAGGCAGTGGTCCCCAACCTTTCTGTGGGAATAGCATATTCCTATTCCCAGAAGACTGTGGTGGGTGCCGAGAAGCAGCAGCGGCAAGAAGCTTCGCTGCCGAAATGCCACCGAGAAACGGCAATGCTTCTCAGCGGCATTTCGGTGGCGCGGTGTCCTGTGGGTGCACACAACTGCCCTGTCGGGCGCCATTATGCCCGTGGGCACCGCGTTGCGGACCCCTGCTCTCTGGTGCCACAAATACTCCTGTTCTTTTTGTATGATTCAAGGTAGAGTTCTCCTATCTGAGGTCTAGCTTAATGCTACTAAGTGCAGGTCCTGAGAGAAAGGAAGCAAAAGTGACTTAATAGATTCCTGGGGCTGGCTGAGGAGCTAATATTGCAGCCAGGAATAGCTTGAGTTCAATGGTGTTCTGGTCATGCCCCTACTGTCTGGCCACACCCCTATGATGGATACTGCTCGGTGGTAGTATAAACCTGGCACACTGGTTCTACGCCATCATGGGAGCCCTGTGTAGCTTGATGTGACAATCAGTATCCAGACACTGCAGTGGGAAAACAGAAGGTTTAAACCACAAGCATAAACTGTGAAATCACCTGATGGTATATTGTCATTGTATTACACAGATATACCTAGTAATGTCTTTTATAATAACTTGTATGGTTCTGAACTTGATAGCCATTATGAGCTATGTCTAGAGACCTTGGCTATGAATGTATGTATTTGGGCAGAAAACTGTGCTCATAAACTTCAGCTCTGCTTCACAGCAGGACATGGAGCAGTTCCAAAGGCAACTTGTCTCTGTTTGTTTTCTGTGTAACTTGTATCTGTTTACTCTCCCAGATCATTTCATCTTTGAATCTGTGGTTTTTCTATTAAATACACACTTTGTTTATGTTTGCCTCAAGCAGGTTTCTGGTGTACAAACTGTGGAGTTTCGAAGGCAAAGGGAGCTGATAACTGGGGAACTGCTTCCATTCCTTCAGGGAGATGAGAATGCTCTGAGTGTCTGGTGTTTAAGAACTTGGGGAGGACAGATCTGGGGACACTCAAGACTGGGAGGACTGTTGGTGTCACTCTGCAGGAGTAAGTAGATTGGGGAGAGCCAGGGTCAGACCAGAATCTTGTGGGCGACTGCCTGCTGGTGTCAGGAATCTGAACCATAACTGCATGGCACCAAGGCAACCTGAAGTAAAAGGGCAAGTGGTGACAGAACCCCTTACCTATATTGGTAAAGGGTAATTATATTGGGCCTATAAACTTAGGCAGAAAGAAGACTCTAGTAATGTGCTTTGGAAAATAGGGCCAGATTTACAAAGGTATTTAGGCACCTAAAGACTATAAAGATACAGGCACCTGGTGGGATTTACAAAAGAGCCTAAGTAGGGTGGATGCCTAACTCCCATTCACTTTCAAGGATTAGCTTTCAAATTGATTAGATGCCAGATCTGCTTAGGTGCATTTGTGAATCCCACTAAGCACCTATCTGCATCTTTGGGCTCCTAAATACTTTTGTAAATCTGCCCCATAGGGCTTTAAATGCTACCTTTTATCCAATAATTCATAGGGAATTTTAGTAAGTGGCATCAGTTCTGTTATCTAACATCAGTTTGCTGAGGTGTGGGTAAAAGGTTCCAGTAATAAGGGGTGGTTTAGTACTTACTGGCTAGTATCTCATTCTTCTTGTTGGAGGTGCGGGCCCTTATAAAAACAGGCTGGTCTGTCAGTTGATTAGCTTATTCTTAACACCAGAAGAAGATCATCTTTATGACAAACTTTGAAGAAAAAAGTTTGGAATTAGGGCTGTCGATTAATCGCAGTTAACTCATGTGATTAACTACAAAAAGTTAATCGCAATTAAGCAAATTAATTGTGATTAACTGTAGTTTTAATTACACTGTTAAACAATAAAATACCAATTGAAATTTAGTAAATATTTTTGGATGTTTTTCTACATTTTCAAATATATTGATTTCAATTACAACACAGAATACAAACTGTACAGTGCTCACTTTATATTATAATTTTTATTACAAATATTTGCACTGTAAAAATAATAAAAGAAATAATATTTTTTGGTTCACCTCCTACAAGTACTATAGTAAAATCTCTTTATCATGAAAGTGCAACTTACAAATATAGATTGTTTTTTGTTACATAACTGCACTCAAAAACAAAACAATGTAAAACTTTAGAGCCTACAAGTCCACTTGGTCCTACTTCTTGTTCAGCCAATTGCTAACACAAACAAGTTTGTTTACATTTGCGGGAGGTAATGCTGCCTGCTTCTTATTGACAATGTCACCTGCAAGTGAGGACAGGTAGTCAAGTGGCACTTTTGTAGCCGTCATTGCAAGGTATTTACCTGCCAGATATGCTAAACCTTTATCTGCCCTTTTATGCTTCGGTCACCATTCCAGAGGACATGCTTCCATGCTGATGACACTCATTAAAAAAATAATGGGTTAATTAAATTTGTGACTGAACTCTTTGCGGGGAGAAGCGTATGTCTCAGGCTCTGTTTTAGCTGCATTCTGCCATATACTTCATGTTACTGCAGTCCCGGATAATGACCCAGCACATGTTGTTCATTTTAAGAACACTTTCACTGCAAATTTGACAAAACACAAAGAAGGTACCAATGTGAGATTTCTAAAAATAGCTACAGCACTCAATCCAAGATTTAAAAATCTGAAGTGCCTTCCAAAATCTGAGAGGGATGGGATATGGATCATGCTTTCAGAAGTCTTAAAAGAGCAACACTCTGATGCGGAAACTACAGAACCCAAACCACCAAAAAAGAAAATCAACATTCTGCTGGTTGCAGCTGACTCAGATAATGAAAATGAACATGTATCAGTCCGCTCTGCTCTGGATCATTATCGAGCAGGTACCATCATCAGCATGGATGCATATGTCCTCTGGAATCATGGTTGAAGAATGAAGGGACATATGAATCTTTAGCGCATCTAGCACTTATCTTGCGATGCTGGCTACAACAATGCCATCTGAACTCTTGTTCTTACTTTCAGGTGACATTGTAAACAAGAAGCAGGCAGCATTATCTTCTGCAAATGTAAACAAATTTGTTTGTCTGAGCGATTGGCTGAACAAGAAGTAGGAATGAGTGGACTTGTAGGCTCTAAAGTTTTATTTTATTTTTGAATGCAGTTATTTTTTGGTATATAATTCTACATTTGTAAGTTCAACTTTCATGATAAAGAGATTGCACTACAGTACTTGTATTAGGTGAATTGAAAAATACTATTTATTTTGTTTTTACAGTGCAAATATTTGTAATAAACATAAGGTGAGCACTGTACACATTGCTTTCTATGTTGTTATTGAAATCAATATATTTGAAAATATAGAGAACATCCAAAAATATTTAGATAAATGGTATTATATTACTGTTTAACAGCATGATTAAGTGTGCAATTAATTGCATGGTTAATCATGATTAATTTTTTAATCACGATTAACTTTTCAGTTGCTTGACAGCCCTAGTTGGAATTTTGATACTTTTCTACCATGTTTTCAGATTCCAAAATGGGTTCTTTTAAGAATTCCAACTCTTCAGACACTGCTGTGAACTGTTCACAGTGGTAGGATCTTAATGCTTTCTAGTGGCTATCATCATAGCTGCATAATTATTGGGAATCTAGAATTAGGTCTGAAGCTAGTATCTACACTGCATACATATGTTTTGAGATGGGACAGTCATTTAAGATCTTCCATTTTTCCCTTCTTCTCCCTACTTCTATTTCACTCAAAACTTTGAGTTCTCTACACTGTCTATTACATTTTTACTTATTGTGGAAAAAACACTTCATATTCTGCAAGAACCTTAAAAAGTTCACTAACTTAGAAACAGTATGTTAAGGAATTTTCTGTAGTTGAGAAATTCTGATCTATGAAATTTTGTATCTTCTTCAATGAAATAAAATTTGTGTAATAGAGCTGTTCCATAAGAAATTTCACTATTTCAACATTTGTTTTCATTCCAAATTGAGATGAAATGTCAAAAAACTGAAAATTGTTACCAAGCTGAAAATTCCAAAACCTTTCAATTCACAAATATTGAAACATTTTGTTTTAACATTTTTGATCAAAATATTTTGACGTTCACAAATCAAACATTTCATTTTGTTTGTCAAACTGAATTTCAGCTGAACTGCTTAAGTTTCTGTGGTGTCTCATGTTTCCTTTCTCCTCTGTCTGCTGAGATATCTGGCCAGACTAAATCTCTGATAATGCATCCAAGCAGTTAAACCAGACTGGAGACCATAATGCATGATGGGTGATGTAGTCCAGCCAGAGAACCAGCCCATATTGGAGAATAGTCACCCAAACTACAACCAAACTACAACTCCTCCAAGGTACCACAGTAGCTCGGGTGAGCACAGATTAATGTAGAGCTGACCTGAAAAGTAATGTTTCTATTCTTTTGGCATACTAAAATATTTAGATTATATTTGACCTAACCCCAGACAAAATATTTAATTTCCATGTTCCTGATGGGCAATTAACTTTTTGGCAAAATCAAAAGTTACTGATGGAAAATATTTCATCAAGAAAATCTTTCAGCAGAAAATTCTCAAACAGCTCGAAGTGGCTGCTACTTCTCTGCTCTCCCCCAAATAAAACCATGGTTAGTTATTGACCCCTTTAATCCATTTCTCTTCTAGTAACAATGTTAAAAGGAATTTATTAACAGATTAGCTTCTCTTAGACCTCATTCTATCCCTTCTAACAGTCTTCATTCATCACAAAATTAATGAAGGGTAATTATTAATGATTTTCTCCAGTCTTTGCAATTAACACCACACCTCAAATTGGTTCAGTGCAGGGAAAGTGAGACATTTCTCATTTTACATCTCCCTAGTGATGTAAACTGGCAGGAGAGATAACAGCATGCCTTAAACTTGTTAATGCTAAATACTCAAATCTTTGGATACAAATTAGTCAGAGTTGCCATGAAAACCACTAAATCACTTGTCTTTAAAATTCCATTGTTTTGTGTCATGGTTTTGCATGATTAAGTGTACTATTATCACATGTATACTTCAGGCATGAAATCATTTTCATATTGCCATGGGATGATACTTACAGCAGGAGCTCTATTGAACTGCCAGCTTGCTTATTAATTATTATTAATTATTATTATTATTAGCAGTAGAAAATTGTATATTGTGATAGCACCCAGTTGGGACTACTACTTCAAATAACCAAGTCTGGATTAGTGAGCCAGGGGGTAGCTTCAGAAGTGTCTTGGTGTAAGTCTGAGATGCGACTAGCAAATGATCAAACTGGGCACTCATTTACACGGTGGTTCATAGTTTATGGCTGGTATCCACTATCACATTGTGTGTTGTCTCTCATTTTCAAGAAGTGTGAGAGATGACAGCATCTGCCATGGTGTGGACAACTGTTCAAGGTAGGTTAAAGACTGGAAGTTCTTTTGTGAGGTTGACAATCAAGTGTTTGTTTTGGTCATTAACGTTGTCCCAGAATTCTTTCCAGTGTGCTTCAGGGTTCCAGGAAGATGCTTTAGGAGCTTTAGCCTGATTTGAAAAAGGCTTTCAGGCTTTCTGACATGTCTTCAGAAGATTCTGGAGGCCCTCATGAATTGGCAAGTTCTAGTTGGCCATGGTTCAATCGTACTCAGGATCTGTGTCTGTCTCTCCAGATTTTGGATGGGGGTACATGTGCTAGAGTGGGCAACCATTGAACGGCTGTTTATTTTAATATTTCAATTATAATTCTCATCACAGCATTGCGCTGCATATACAGAGATTTGGTATGTGAACTGCCTGCTCAGACTATTGTGCAGTATTCAGCAGTTTCATATACTGGTACTAGAGTCACTGATTGATGTGTGTGTGCATCAGCATCACATGTTGTGCCCATGAGTTTTCAGAGGAGGGTAGTTCTTGATTTACCTTTTTGCATGTCTCTTCTAGACACAAAAAATGCTAAGGGAAAGGGAAAGTTATGCTAAATAAATCCACTATGGAGTGGCATCTGACTTGTTAATTATTAATCATTGCTTACACCTGGTGCAACTATATAATTTGCTATCTACCTATAATGTATCTTAGATGTCCATTATCATATTTAGGTGCTAAAGAAGCATGCAATCATATCAGCTCTTACACCAAGAAGGCAGGACGATGGACACACCAAGGTAATATCTTCTTGAATTTAATGTAAATGGGGAAATACAGGCTCCATTGCTTAAATGCCATGAGAACAAGAGCCCAGGATTCGCTGCAGACTATTATATAAGTCCCAAATTCCGGATTCACATCCCAAAGCAGGAAGGAGTGCTATAATTTCTCACGACCATGTATATTGGTTATGCATAAGGTCTGCTCATCCTGTTGTTAGTTGGCCCTGAACCACAAGCGGGGGAAACAGAAGATTCACACCTTCTCCTTAGCCTGGTGTTACGGTGCTGCTCAAAGAATATCAGGGCCGAGCCAAGGATGGCCTGTTTGTACTGGTCAGCTGTTAAAGTGCAGTCAGGAAATGAGCAGTGGGGTCAGGAATGGGCCAGGTCAGAATGCCAGGAAGTCAGGGTCAGGCACCAAGTTGCAGGTTGCAGGCAAATAGCAGAGATGGGGCTGAGCTGGGTTAGGATATCAGGAAGTCAGGGTCAGCCACCAGGTTATAGACCACAATCAGATAGCAAAATCAAGGACAAACGAGCATCACAAGCTGGAGTCTAGGATCGACAGCAAGCAGGGACTCGAGTAGAAACAAGCAGGCAATCAGCATTGTTGCTCAGAAAGCTCCTGATGCTGGCTTCCTGGTTTAAATACTAGCAACAGCCAATCAGTAGACTGTGAGGGGCTGCCATTCAGGCCCTGGGCATTACTTCCTGCTAAGCCTAGTTTCACAGGGTCATCCAGCAGAAACCTAAGCTAAGCTTCTAGTGGTGATTCAGAAGTGTCAGTGGCCCAGAACCCACTTAGTTCCAGGTTCTAGTTCTGTAAGTTATTACATCAAGGCAGAGAACACAGGGCAACAAGTAGGTCTCTGTGGGTCTTCTTCCCCTACCAGCTCATGGAGATTATTGTAATTCCTACTGCAAAACATTCTCCTCTGGCATTATCTCTGTTGCAATGCATTTCTAAGCTTTTACACCAATATTTATACTGATAAGAGAGCATTAGTAGTATTAAATCATGTACCTCAGCAGAAATGCTTGAACTTTCTTCTTGGTTTCCTTTTTCTTCCACATTGGTTCCGCTGCTGCTGGAGGTGCATTTAAATCTGGAAACTTGCTGCTACTGTCAAAGATTTCTGACTTAAACATGGACGGAGCTATGAGAGGGCGATCCCAGATAAACAACACAACAGCAGCTCCTTGGGGTTTTCCTTCAACAGTATAAAAAAGGGTTAAGTGTCTAACTACAGAAGTTGCTGCTATCACAGTGTGAGGAATACACAACTGACCAAGCATCTTCATATTAAATTAACTTGTGGCATTTATTGATCCCACTGAATGACAATGAATTTAGTCACATAACTTGCTCTGGAGTTCAATCCATAGTATGCACAAGTTAGTGGCATGAAGACTGAAGCCGTTTTCAGCCAGAATAACCAAGGAAGGATCCATGTGAAATGACTGACCCAGTGAATACTTCTTTAGCCACAGAAGTGGGATTTGACTGATTTCCTGTCTTATGAAAGCCTGCTATAGAACTGAAACTATCTAACCATCTCTATATTTTAGAAGTTTTTGATGTGCAAGGATCGTAGTTAGTTTGTCAATGACATCTTGCTTTTGTCGGGAAACTGTGGTGTTGCAAAGATATTAAGATTCTGTGCTAGCATTTTGGCTGATCAGTCTGTGGTATTATAAAAAGTGTTGTCAAAGTAATTAAAACAGTGATTTATTATTACGTATTCTTCATATTTAAGGTGCTCGTGATTATTCACTCCAGCTACATGAATGTTAAACAAAATATAGATTCCTTCCGAAACAGGGAGAGCTCTCTGCTACCTTTTCCTCCCAAAGACATTATGTCGGAATAACACTATTGGAACTACCAGCCGTTTTCTTAGAAGTCATGTTAGAAGAGTCAAGTCCTGCACTGTACCCTAAAAATGGCAAAACTCAAGCTCAGCCTGACCTCAGGCAGACCATAAAAGAAAAGTGACAGCAGTGGATTTCTGAGAGCTAAAACATAATGTTTAATTAATCTGACATACTTATCTTTCATTTACACAAATCCAGATCCTCTTGGTTTCACCATTAACATCCCATTTGTAGGGAGGTGGAACAAACTCTCGCAGTCAAACAGAAAAAGATTTGTATTCTCATTTTCCTCAGTGCGCTGCCTCTGATATTATAGATATTATAGAAAAAGCATGGTTTTCATTGCAGAAGATGATGACAGTAAATCTAGTCAATGTAATCAAATTAAACGGAACGTCTATGTATACTCCTAGAAAAAGTATATCAGATATATTCACCCCAATTAAATAAATAACTAAAATGTTTTATTAAAAATGTCTATATTACTGCCTTTAACACAATATTTAATGTAGAGCGACTTTCCGTTATAATGAGAGGATGCAGTAAATCTCCCTCTAACCTTAACATGGAGAATTTTAGGAAATGCTCTTATAAACAAAGAGGAAAAGAGGAACACAGTAACGCAGAGAGAGCCTGATCTTGTTCCCATTAAAGTCAGTGGGGGAAGGATCAGGGCCTAAAGCAGTAAAAATACATGCACCTATAAGGAGATATATTTAGAAAGTCATAGAGAGCCCTAATGATTATAATATAGGCTTCATATAGTACCTTAGTTTTATATCTTTAGTCTAATATTTTAAATGAACACAACCATAAATGCACACACTCATTTATGTATATACACACACACACACACACACAGTATCTATATTTAAATTACAGTTTCTGGCTTTTAGGGTCCACAAAAGGTGCTAAATTCACTGCCCTCACTCTTCTTTCTTTCCTAAAATGAGCTACAGCACAGACAGTGTACTTGTACTCATAGTAGGGAGAGTTTCACCCATGCAGATGATTTCATCTTCTATCCAACACACTAGAAGCCCCTTGTCATAAATATAAAGGGAAGGGTAAACACCTTTAAATCCCTCCTGGCCAGAGGAAAAATCCTTTCACCTGTAAAGGGTTAAGAAGCTAAAGATAACCTCTCTGGCACCTGACCAAAATGACCAATAAAGAGACAAGATACTTTCAAAGCTGGAGGGGGGAGAAACAAAGGTTCTCTCGGTCTGTGTGTTGCTTTTGCTGGGACCAGAGCAGGAATGCAGGTCAGATCTCCTGTAAAGGGCTAATAAGCAATCTAGTTAGATATGCGTTAGATTCTGTTTTGTTTAAATGGCTGATAAAATAAGTTGTGCTGAATGGAATGTATATTCCTGTTTTTGTGTCTTTTTGTAACTTAAGGTTTTGCCTAGAGGGATTCTCTATGTTTTGAATCTAATTACTCTGTAAGGTATTTACCATCCTGATTTTACAGAGGTGATTCTTTTACCTTTTCTTCAATTAAAATTCTTCTTTTAAGAACCTGATTGCTTTTTCATTGTTCTTAAGATCCAAGGGTTCGGGTCTGTGTAAACCTATGCAAATTGGTGAGGATTTTTATCAAGCCTTCCCCAGGAAAGGGGGTGTAGGGTGTGGGATGATTTTGTGGGGAAAGACATTTCCAAGTGGGTTCTTTCCCTGTTATATATTTGTTAGATGCTTGGTGGTGGCAGCAATAAAGTCCAAGGGCAAAAAGTAAAATAGTTTGTACCTCGGGGAAGTTTTAACCTAAGCTGGTTAAAATAAGCTTAGGGTTTTTTTCATGCAGGTCCCCACATCTGTACCCTAGAGTTCAGAGTGGGGAAGGAACCTTGACACCCCTTCAGGAGGTTCCATTTCCATGGCTTTAAAAGGTGGGAGTCAGTGGAGTTCCCTTCATGGCTGTAGCAAATGGTGATATTTCATCTCTGTGCTGTGTGTGTTTGTGTGGGTCTCTTGGGCCAGTTGCTTTGTGAGTGGGTTTTGATTGGAAGGTTCAACACAAAGCCTGGTGTTCCATTGCCCATCTTCTGTAGCCATTGGCTTTGGTAGCCTTCTATTCTTGCTACACTATGAATGTGCACTGTACGGACAATGGATAATTGAGCCCACAGTATTTTAATGGGCCATTAGGTGACATACCAATTTTCAGCAGTGCCTGGAAGAAGCAGCAGAGGAGCAGTTTGGCTGGAGCTATTTGCACCCAGAGATAGGTATGTAAGTTTTGCAGCAGTCCTGAAGTGAGGCTATATATATTTATGTTTGGTGCTACTTACCTTGTTACTCCTTCTTTGTGGAGGTTATAAAAGGGACTATGTTTGTACTGTAAATACATATAAACTGGGAAAGACTATCTCGAGTCCATGCCCACTCATTTGTGTCTCAGTGAGGAGTGAATCCCCTGCAATCTAAACTCCTCTGAGGATGTAGTAAGTAAGTATATATTACTATGTGACAGGAGAAGGCTTCTCCTTTAAAAAATATGCCACCCTTGTGCATAGTCATAAAGGAGATAAAATTTATACAGTTAGTAGGATATTATGTACTTCCAGGGAAAAAGGATAGCAATGCTAACCAAGCTCCATACAATACATTTCTCTAACAACTGAAGAGTAAAAGGCAGACCAGACCAAAGCTAAGCCTAAGGACATCATCACAGAAGAAATGACAGAGGCATCCTCTCATCAATCTCTGATGTCAGGTGACTTTCCTGCACTGCGTGTTCCACATAACTCTTAGAACATGCCAAGGACCCAAATCAGATTTTCTTTAGGAAGAAGCAAGACAGTGTCACAGAAGAAAATGCTGATGCAGCAATGGAATTTGCAGCACCCTTAATTAGGAGATTATACGTGACTTTCTGGTATTTTGAAGCTTCTTCTGTAACTTGTCAAATGACAGAGGGGACCCTAGAAGAGGTTTAAACTTCCTAGAACTAGTGTGGTAAAGTGCATTAGTACGGATTATAGGACATAGTAGTGGCACTGTATGTCATTTGCCTTACAGCATGCATCTTTGCTTTAGCTGCCTGTTGCACAGTTATCGTTACCGTCTTGTCCAGTTATGACCATTCCGTGCCCTGCTGTTTTTGAAGTTATTGAAGAACTACTCACTGCAAGGGGAAAAAGGAACTTTGAGCATTGTAATAGCAGACAGTATGAAATTCAAAGGTTAAGTTAACGTTTATAGAGAAGACTGTAAATTAATTTCCAATATGATGTCATATGGTTTAGTAATATACAGAATATGCAGAATAAGTTAATTAAATGTTTATTATGTGTTAAATGTTACAGTTTTTAATGCTCACAGTTAAACCACAGTTACTAGAGGTTGGAAATTAGTTTCAGCTCTGTTAAACTGGGTTCACCCACAGTACTGATAGTGTTACAAATGACATGGTGCTTTTTGTTTGCAGACAAATCATATTTGTTAACTGGTGTTTCACATTGTGGCATCAGGAGGAGTCCTTTAGATGTCACTACGACTTTTAGAACGAATTTATTTTCCCCTTTTGTGGCTAAAATGAATCCAGTTTACTGTGAAGCTACCCTAACTACAATCACTTAGTTAGCACTAAGTGTTGCTGCAACCAGAATATGTATTAATCTACAGTCTCGCAAGATGCCTGCAGTGCCTAGACACAAAGGGCTGGATTCAAGTTGACCTGGCTGCTTTAAAACAGCATTTGCTGGCTTTCTTTTATTAGTCAGTCCCTTACCAGCATTTTGAAGGTTTTATTTTCTGTTTAATTTATCTGTGAGTGGATGTGGTATTGAAGTATTAACGAGTTGTTGCTCTTTTTGAGCAGCTAGTTCCAGTTCACTCTAGGTTAATGTTACCCCAAGAGTAATAATGAAAAGTAATTATTAGGTTGTTAATTTAACAATGTCTTCATTTTTCATGTGATCTGGTACAATTTCCAGAACAAAGCCGGAGATGTGACACTTAATTTTAAGATTAAAAAATGCTGTCATGAGTTGCAGTGCAGAAAGGATAAATGCCAGAGGCATCATAACATCTAACTTTTTTTCTTTTTTTAGACAAAAGAGATTTACATTTCAGCCCGGGCTGCATGATGAAATGTATACAGTTTGATTTTCGATAACACAGTCATACCTACAATTATGATGGATTGCAGTCGAGGCATAATGGTTGTTTGCAATGAGGGTGGGGGGAGAAAGGATCTGCAGATGAATTGGTGCAGGGCTCCATGCTGTGACTTATGCATTAATCATGAAGCATCATGTTTATGCAAATGTGTAGGAGCCCAATTAGGCATACAGCACAGAGCACTGGGAATAATGTTATGGGCTATTGGGCCTTTGAAATACACTCCTTGGCCAAATTTTCAAAAGCAAAGCACATTTGAGATGCCTTTTGCTTTTCAAAACAGGTGTACAATTGTCTTCTTAGTGCTTATTTCATGCCTTCAACCTTAAAATAAAGCTTTATCCCAATTGGCATGATTTTCCCTAGTCACTGAAGAGTAGCAGTGGAAATTCTGAATCACTGACAAGAAAATAAAATGTTCATTCAGAACATAGACGTGCTGAGAATATTGAGAATCCTTCAATATTTGGATATTTTCACTATGCATTTTGAATGTCCCACACTCTGAATATATTCAGGATTTATCTGGTATTTTATCCATTCTCTTTACAGTATGTATTAATAAAAATATTCTGATTTACACTCTGAAAGTCCAATGAACAAAATGCAAATATGCCAAATATTAAACACGACACTTTGGAACATAAGCTTTCATTACATAGACTAATTCATGTTCTTGAGCAGAGATTACTCTTTCTAAAAAACCTACTAGTGTGTGTTTCTTTCTTTCATAAAACACTTGTTAAGG